GAATGAACTGTTTTTTAAATGGAATTAACTTCATAATATTAAAAATTAGATATTATAAAATCATTACTGCTATAAAGATGAAATTCCTTTCTTCTATTTTTTTACTCACATTTCACCTTGGATATCTAAACACATGAAATAAGAGTAACCTTATGTACAGGGTTTACAAAGAATGGATAATAGCATATTTTACAATGAGAAAAAAATTGAGAATGATAATAAAAACACTTTTAATATTGAGAAAATGAATGATTAGGAAAATCTGAAATGGTAAACTTACAAATGTTTTATTGCTGATTGAAACGTAATGAATATATTTTAGAATCTAGAAATCTATAAATATAAGGTGTCATGAAGATGTAACTAAAAATAGAGCAATAATCTGTAAATTAATTTACAGAGACTCAGAATGGCAGATGGAATATAAGAGAGGGCATGAATGGGTTGCTCTGTGGCTCCCAGGAATTTAGGATCAAAGGCTCAAAATCAATGTGGTAACAACACTTGGAAAGACACTATAGCATAAAGTCAAAGCTATTGAATTATTGCACCCTTAATGAAAATTTATATTACATCTTTCATCCTTTAAACAAATATGCACTTTTTTCCTGAAAAATATTATCTGCTTCTTTTCTTCAAAGGGAGAATATTATCAAGTGCATTCAATACATATAGCACAGTGAAACTATTATAATCCAAATAATGTCATACAAGTCTAAATTAGAAGGTATGAAAGTTCCACGACCACATAAATATAATTATATATTAAATATTCATTTCTACTTAGCGAATTACTATCCAGAATGTAATTAGAATGTGGGCACTTCTTTCTTATGCACACTGTACATGTTCTATGCAGAAATATGGTATACATTATTTGGAATACTGAGAAAAACATTTATTCAGAAGGATTTCTGCCTTTTCATTATTTACAAAAATGTAAATTAGACCCTAAAGAATAACATTTTCTAATAAATGTGAAAGTGGAAGCTGTAGCTTAGTAAAGGTAGAAATGGAATCAATTATTAACCAAAGCCAGTTCTTTGAAAAGTCCAACAGCATAAATATATCTCTTCCTATGATGTGTGATTAAATATTTAAAAAGCAGATACTTCTTTTTAGTTTCACTGGAAATTCTTAGAAATACAAAATGTAGGGGGAAACTATACTTAGTCCTCACTTAGTGAATTTTGTTTTCTGATATTTCATTTGGCTTAATGGTTATCTGGCAGTCATAAACCCTGAAGTGCAAGATGAGTGTAATATTGGCTATGATGTTAACATTCTGTGTCAACTTGACAGGTCCAGGATTCTGAGTAGTTCAGCAGTTATATAACACTGTAACTTGTTAGTTCCAAAATGATGTCATCATCTTCCAATTTGTGATATAATGTGGTCATCTTCCATATCTCATGACACCCATTTTTCCTTGATGATGTTTTTTAGGACCTACTGATATCCATAGATGAAAGTGGTGGCATTTAAGTGATTATAGTGCCTTATTTATTTATGTTTTTAAAAAATCACTTTATTGAGGGTTCATAGAGCTCTTATTGCAGTGCATATGTACATCCATTGTGTCAAGCACATTTGTACATTTGTTGCCATCATCATTTTCAAAACATCTTCTTTCTACTTGAGCCTTTGGTATAAGCTCCTCATTTTTTGTCCCTCTACCCCCACCCTCCTTCCCTCATGAATGCTTGACAATTTATAAATTATTATTTTTATTTCATGTCTACACAGACTAATGTCTCCTTTCACCCAGTTTTCTCTTGTCCGTTCCCTTGGGAGTGGGTAATATGTTGATCACTGTGATTAGATTTCCCTTTCACCCCATCCTTCCCCTTCCCCTCCTGGTATTGCT